TTTTATTTATTTATTTATATTATTATTTTTTATTTATTTTATTTTATTTATTTATTTTATTTTATTTATTTATTGCCCTCAAGGTTGGACTCACTTCCTCACGGTAAGAAGAGATTGAGACGGTAGATAAGGAATGGGAACAACGTACCTGGAGATAGCTGCCCCCAACCACAGATTTCTCACCAATTGGGCCGACGTGCATTTCGATGATTGGTCAATGGCCTCGGTACCACCCACAACGCAATGCAGTGCCACCTCAGCCAAAATGCCACGTCAGCATACTCTCATCATCATACATACATCCGCTGTAAAAACAGCTCCCACGCTGTCATCACAGCCTTCCAGTGGCCGGCCCCTCCACCTGGGCCCCGCCATAACAAGCCAGCGCCAAAGTATCCTTACTGCACATGAAGCATCGTTAGCGCACCAAGTAACAATGTCGCCAGTGCCAGGTAAGCGGCGATCACGAACCAGCTCCGATACCGAATTGCAAGGAATATGAGTGTGAACGATATACAGAAAACCAAGTTGCGAAATCACACAGATGTCTGAGTAGTCGTGTACAAGCAGAGAGCACACTTGCACCAAGAATCCATCCAAATAGAGCAATACAATGAAGTAATGAGCCAATGTTCAAGCCCATAGGCCACACCAACACAGTATCCAAAGTCGCTCCTCTCTGTCTGGCGCCCAGCGCCCAGCCTACTCTACTCGACTATCCTACCTACAGCTGTGTTCACGCAAGGCTCACTTCGACTCTCGAAGACCAATGTACATGATGTCAACACCATAGCCGACCTCTCTTTATGCACCAGGCAGGTATCTCGTCACCCTCGTTAGACCTTGAGAACCCACACTCGCGTCCTTCCCTGAAGACCACCAGATCGCCCTCTTACCCCCTTGGCTCCCAATAGCCCGGCTATGGCTGCCTGCGCCCCGCTGCCTTGCAGCGCCCCACTTCACCCCGTCAGCGCCCTGACCATCAGCGCAGCAGCGTGACCGCATTGCCTGCGCAGGCCAGAATGCCTCGCCAGGGCTGCCTCACTTCCTATATGGAAGTGGCAGCCTCCTGGATGCTGCGTGTGGCCTAGCTGGAAGCTTCCAGTAGCTCCCAGTTGGGCCTCAGTCCCTGGGCCCAAGCCCGAGGATACAGTTGAGGGCCTGGGCCCCCTTTACAGTTGGGCACGGCCTGAGTCTCCGGACTTGGGCTGTTTGCTGCATCTGTGCAGGGCTTCCCAGGTAGGTGCGTCGACAGTACTACTTTTGCATAGGCCGATGGCCTGCTTCTCAATGTATCGGCCCTGCTTTGTGTGTATGTGCCCAGGCGCAACTGTCAAGGCCTGGGCCGCACAACGCAGCTTAGCGAGGCTCACGCGTCTACTCAACCAACTGGCGTGCTGCAAGAGCCTGAATACCCACATATGGAAGTGTTGAAATTTTGGCCTCTGACGAATATTCAGGCCCGCCTTCACTCAGGGCGGGCACTCGGCTTGCTGGGGGCCTTTGCCCAGAACATGTGATGTCTGATAGAGCCCTGTGAGGGCTCGTTCCTCGCATTATTTATTTTGAAAACCAGGTCCATTGTACTAGATGGAGTGGCATGTCAGCACCCTCTCTAGCACACCTACCGCCGGTTTTGTTCTTCTTTCAAAGAAAAGAACAATGACAGCAACTATTGTCCCAAGCCTGCTACTGGAAATAGTGGAAGTGCCCCTCCCCCCTCCCCCCCCACCCCCTCACCAAGTGCTCAATCAACCATGCCCAGGTCTCAACTACTACAGAGGCATATCTGTGACTACCATCAATAGCCTCACAAGGGGTAGGTGCAGGTGCTCAAAAGCTTAACTGGGGTAAATGCAGGGGCCACAAAAGCTTTGACTGGAGTTTGTGGAGGTGGCCCAAGACCCTAACTGATGTTAATGCAGGTGGCATGAAAGCTTAACCAAGGTTTACGCAGGTCGCACAAAAGCTTAACTAGGGTTTGTGCAGGTGCCCAAGAGCCTAACTGGGGTTTATGCAGGTGGCATGAAAGCTTAACTAGGGTTTGTGGAGGTGGCCCAACAGCCTAACAGGGGTTTATGCAGGTGGCACAAAGGCTTAACCAGGGTTTGTGAACGTGGCCCAAGACCCTAACTCAGGACAACGCAGGTGGCATGAAAGCTTAACTGGGTTCATGCAGGTGGCCGAAAAGATTAACTAGGGTTTGTGGAGGTGCCCCAAGAGCCTAACTGCGGTTAATGCCAGTGGCACGAAAGCTTAACAGGGGTTTATGCAGGTGTCACAAGCGCTTAACTGGGGTTAACGCAGGTGCCACGCAAGATTAACTGGGGTTTATGCATGTGCACAGCGAGGAGATGCAGAAGGGGTGAAAGAGGAGGTTGATGTGCTTAAACCATCAGTAGTTGGACCAGCTATTGGCCACGGCCGATTCACGTTAACGCGCCGGTAGTTGCCGGCTTCGGGGCACCGAACCACAATGGCTGGAAGCGCCAGCCAAAATGAAAACGAAACGGTGCCCCAGCGGCTCGGCAAAACTTGGCGCGCAGGGGGTATCCCGGCTCGCCATCAATAGCTGGGCCAAGTACTGGTGGTTTAACCCACCAGTACCTTTCCCATACGTCGGCCGCGGGCAGTTTCCAAAGGCCGAGACGAAAAACGGGCCGCCGATTCGATTTATCGACGGGGGCCTTCCCCTGTTCGGTGCTCACGTTACCCGGCGCGTCTCAGCAAAATAGTTGGGAAAGGTACTGGTGGTTAAAGAACTGTGCTGCGAAGAATAGGGCAGCATGCCTCCGACGCTGTTGTAGCTGCTGGACAAATTTTGAAAACTGGCCAAACTTCAATTCAAGACCACTCCTATGTTACTTCTAGCCGAAGCCGAGTAATGGCGGCCTTGGTATATCAAATTGTTCTTGTACTTCTTCATAAGGGACACTGGGCCCGGTTCCCAGCACGTGCTGCTCCCCACGAATAGATCGGACCATTGGGTAAAAAAAAGAAAACAAAGAAACAACGGCGGATGCGGCAGATTTTTAGTTCACAAAAGGGGGAAAAAACACGTGCCGGCAAAGAAAAACAGGCGCCGACTTTGAGACGGCTTGGCACGATGCGCCGCTTCCATTCCTTGATATGAGATTGCTAGGACTTGGATAATCTCCCAATTGCTTACTGAATGTGGAAAATATTTAAATATAGGTTGTTTAAACCACCAGTACACCCGAGGCTATCTGTACAAGCCTGAATTTTCAATTTTGCCGCGCCTGGAAGCAACCGGTACCACCACTTGGAAAATTGAGGGCGGTACCAGTACCGGCCTTTCTCGGATTGAGTGCTGGACGTGCTGCCAGCAGATGGTACAAACAAGAGGCCATTGTTTTCACTCGTCCGCCCCCCCCTTGGAAAACTCTCCTGCAAGCCCACCCATGTATCTGGCCTTTCCCGCACAACAGATACAACAGGGCACCAACAGATAAAGAGGTGCGTAGTTTGGTTTCTCTTTTTTTCTTTTTTTCACTTTTTCTTGTTGCCCTGCCAGCAGGGCAGGGCGTAGTGCAGCCTCTGCACCCGAATTAGTGCAGTGGCTGGTACAGTGGCAGGGATTTTCAAAGCAACATCACGGGCTCTATGCATCTGGCCGTAAGTGCAGCCCAATTCCATGGTAAAAGACACAACAGCATGCTGGCCCTATTGCCATCAGATTCAACCACGTCTGGCTGTAATTGCAGCCAGATACATTTAGTAAAGTGCTACCATGAGTTTGCAGTAAGGGAAAAAAAAAAAAAAAAAAAAAGGAAGTCGGGCGGGGATCTGAATCTGCCAACGAGGCAGGGCTTGCCCTTCTCTAACTGCACCTGTACCTTTCCTCAAAACAGGTGCAAATTCAGCAAAACAAACAAAAGAAAGAGGTAAGCAAGTGTCTCCCGTTGATACAGCTGGTGTCCGTGGAAACAGGCGCCTGCCGCGTTTCTGGAGACCTGTCGGCCTCCAGCAACAAGGCAGGCACCTGTTTCAACGGGTGCCAGCGTTCTTTTTTCTGTTTTTTTTTTTCCTTCCATCTTTAGTTTTCTTTTGTCCCCGCCTTTGTTTTCACATATGGAAACAAACCAGTACGAGGACTTGTCCTTTTCCAGTGGGCCCACGAGCTCTTCTTCCCGTCGCTCTACCTGGCCTCCCCCGAGCCCCGAGATTTCCTTGTGGCGACAAGTTTGTTTTGCTGCAAGGCTGGGGCCATGTACTGGTTTAAGAATCGATAGCCGTCTTGCCATATCTATCTATCAATATATATAATATATATCGTCACAAACAGAACTGCCCGGTAAACCGTAGGCAGAGAGAGAGAAGAGGACAACAAACGAGGGGCTGTGACAAACTGTTTCGTCGGAGTTTCACCGACTCATATATATCGTCACAAATAGAACTGCCCGGTAAACCGTAAACAGAACTGCCCGGTAAACCGTAGGCAGAGAGAGAGAAGAGGACAACAAACGAGGGGCTGTGACAAATATATATCGTCACAAATATATATATATATAGTCAAACAGAGCTGCCTGGTAAACTGTAGGCAGAGAGGGAGAAAGGGAGAAGAGGACAACAAACGAGGGGCTGTGGCAAACTGTTTCGTCGAAGTTGCACCGACTCGTCAGGAGGCTGAACCCTCAACAGTCTGCAGAATCCCCTAACTGATTACACTGTAAGTGACAATCCACGTTAACCCCGGCTGTGGTTAAGCATCAACGACTGCCCAACAACTGATACCCCTCTGAGGAGGTGGGAACCACCAACCACTGCCCTCAAGGTACCTGTGGCAAAAGTCAAAGCAGACTATCACTCACCCACACCAGATGGAAAACTCTATATTCAGTTTTTTTTTTTTTTTTTTTTTTTTTTTGATAACTTTGCAGGAGGTGGTCACTTGAGGAGGTGGTAAGAGCATCCTCCTCAAGTGRCCCCTCYGATGAARGCTCCATCTATTGGTGGGGAGCTGCACCTGGTCTGGAAACCGGGCCCAGCGTCCCAGATATCACTTTACAATTGTTGTTTTGTATGGTGCAGTCAAATAGTTGAAATTCGAAAAACAAAAACACAATTCTAAGCTAAGACATTGAGGTGAGCACGTTGGTCGGTTGCGTTATCTCATGTGGAGCATAGCCAAATGGAAAGGCATCGGTTTGTGATACCGACATGCAAAGGTTCGAACCCTTTTACTCCAACATTGGACCAACA